TAGCCTATTATCATTCACGCTCCAACTACGGGGAGAGGAGGGTAATATTATCCCGCATCGTCTATGGGTGGATCTTTAGTCTCAAATTTGGACAATTTTCACATCTTGAACTAGTTTTTGGTTTAGTTAGGCTCAAGTTCAATTTTATCTTGCAAGTCTAGAGGCAAGTCTATAATACCGTCTGGCTTTACGCTTGCTCTATAGTGTTCAATTTTGGATTCAAGATTTAATTCGACGAGTTCAATATTTATATTTTTACCATGGAATTCATTCCATGTTTTGCAATTTTTAATTCAAAATTGAGTATCTAATATTGAAATTTTAATAAATTTTCATATAAAATTATGCTCCCGTCTAAAAATACTAGGTTCAATTTAACCTATTGAGATGACACAGCATGCGCCTCGAATGGTGTTGATTCTGACGTTAGTAATCGAACATAGTGTTGGATTTTTCTTTTGAGTAATATTGGAAAATGGAAGAGGCACTTCTTGGATTGCACATTTTCATCTTACTCTTTCATTGTCTATAAATTTAGAGGCTTGGCCTCATTTTTCATAGATGGAAAATCTGAAAACTTTTCACAATTTTTTACTTTGTTGCATTGTTTTTCAAATAAACATAAGTGTCACGTGTGATTTCTTTAGTTTGTTGAGTTTGCTGAAGTTCTGTGATTTGTAGTGCCGCTATAGTTATTCCGTTTTATCACGGGAGGAATTAATCTAAAAACCTTGGACAATTGTGAGGTGATTTAATTTTTTAAGTTCACACAGCAACTTGTGGGCTTGAAATTATTTTCTATTTTATTTTATTGATCTAATGCTTGGTGGCTTCTCTGATTTTGAACACAGTTTACTAACACAGAGCTGTTCCCGTCTTTTAACGTAGAACATGGCTATCGCTGGCTACAGGTCGTCTAACGCATTCTATTTCCAAAACCATTGCGATCAAGTACGAATTAAACTAGGAGACTTTAGATAATAGGAGGGAAAAAACTTTTAAAAAAATGCACTAAAAATATTAAAATAATATGATAAATGGTACTAAGAATAATTTGAAAGTTACAACACTTTTTAATGCTTAAACATAGGAGGCATATAAAAATAATTTTTAAATTTTATAACATTGCTTTTCTTTCTCTTTATATAAGCTAATTGGGATGACCATGGATAGGAAGGTACGCAGACCTTACCCATATCTTCAAGAAGGCAGCGAGACTGTTTTCAGTAGACCGTCGGCTCAAGAAAGGTAAAAGAAGGACAGCAACAACAAGCACACCAATCAGAAAACCGAAGAAAAAAATACAAAACTAATAGTAGGTACTATAATCAGAAAGCCGAAACGAAAACGACAAGTAATAACAGAAGTCAAGGGATACAACAATAAACAAAGGACACTAAGTCTTGTACTAGAGCTACTGTTACAGATAGGACAACGCTCGGCTACCTATCCTAACCCTTTACCTTTATTCTCAACCTCCATAACTTCCTATATATGGTCATGTCCTCAGTACTAATAAAAGAAATTAAGAACAACTAGCCGGAATCCAATGGTGAATCCGACGATTTCTAGACACAGAATGGAAAATAAAGCTAGAGAGATGGAGGAGCGTTTGAGAGAATTCTAGAACCTTTCATAACTATTGCAAAATAGTGATATGTTCTTTATATACAAAGGGCAAAACTGGTAAATATAACGATACGGCCGGTCTTTGAGAGTATTAGCCCCACCCTATCTATTATCCCATTTATTTCATTTTATGGTTACTTGACTTGCCAGGGTGTTCGATGTCGGGTTCGGGAGAGTTTCGGAGTGGAATCGGACACATAGTCCCTAAGTTTGAAGTTTGAGTTGTAAGAGTTGACCATAATTTGACTTGTATATAGACGAATCCAGATTGGAGTTTCTTCGGTTTCAATAGCTCTGTATGGTGATTTTGTTCTTAGGAGCGTGTTCAGATGTTGATTTGGAGGTCCGTAGGTTATATCGATGTTATTTGGCAAAAGTTGGAAAATTAAAAGATTTTTGGGAAGTTTGACCGAGAGTGGTCTTTTTGATATCGGGGTCGGATTTTAATTCCAGAAGCTGGAGTAGGTCTGTAATATCAAATGTGACTTGTGTGCAAAATTTAAAGTCAATCGGACGTGATTTGATACGTTTCGGCATCATTTGTAGAAGTTGGATTTTCCTTAGTTTCAATAGGCTTGAATAGGGGTGCGATTCGGGTTTTTGATGTTGTTAGATGTGATTTGAGGGCTTGACTAAGTTCGTATTGTATTTTAGGACTTGTTGAAATATTTGGCTGAGGTCCCGGGGGCCTCGGGTTGATTTCGGGTGGTTAACGGATCGAATAGGAGTTGTGTTAGATTACTGAACCATTTTTGTGTCTGGTGTAATTGCACCCGCGCACTTCGGGCCGCAGGTAAGGCATCGCAATAGTGGGCATCGAGCCACAGAAGCGATATTGGACCTACCCAGCTGGGATCGCAGATGCGGTCAGAGTCCTGTAGAAGCCGACTCGCTGGGGCGATGGAGGAAGCGCAAAAGCGGATTTTGGCCAGTGGGGCTTATGCGCAGGTGCGATGGAAATTTCGCACCTACGATTGCGCAGATGCGGGAGAAGGAACGCAGGAGCGAAGGCCCAACTCCAGTGGTTCACCGTAGAAGTAGGAGGATTATCGCTTCTCTGCAGATGCGGTTAAGTTCCCGCAGAAGCGAGAAGGCTGGACAAAACCTTAAATTTAAGGGTTTGCGATTTTTCTTCATTTTGAGCATTTCAAGCTCGGGATTAGGTTATTTTGAGAGTGATTTTCGAGGGGTTTCTTGAGGCAAGCCACTTGTGAACATTTTTATTCAATAATCTTGTTTTCCCATTGAATTTCCCACCTAGTTTGTGCGTATTTAAGGTGGAATTTGAGAGTTTGAGGATAGGGATTTGGGGAGTTTAATTTGGGAATTTGAGTGGCGATTTGGTATCGGATTTTGATAAATTTGGTATGGTTGGACTCGTGGTTGAACGAATGTTTGAGTTTTGTGACTTTTACCTAATTCCGAGACGCGGGCTCAAGTCAACTTTTTTGGGCGGATTTTTTAATTTCTTGTTAAAGTCATAATTTCATTATTTAGATTAGTTTCTTATAGTCATATTCATAGTATGCAATTCCTTTTGGCTAGATTTGGTCCGTTAGAAGTTGGAAAGTCGAGGGAAATACTTTCTTATTGATTGATTGATTGAGCGAGGCTTGAGGTAAGTGACTTGTCTAACCTCGTGTGGGGAAAATCCCCTTAGAATTTGGTACTATTGTAACGATTTGTGATATGCGAGTGTCGGGTACGCGAGGTGACGAGCGCGTACACGGGCTAAATGTTGAAATTTTGGTCTTTGCTAAGTAGCTTCCTTTTTTGTGCCTTAATTGAGTTATTCTAGCACGTATAGTCATCATGTTTAGCCAAATTTCATATGTCTACGTGTTTCATCTCTTAACTGAAATTTGGGCAACATGCTTATTTGAATTACCCGCTTCCTTGATCTGTATTCGTTCTCTAACTGTAGGATTCCTTGCTTGTATTATCATTATTTCATTTACTACATGTTGACTTTCATGATTCTTGTTGAGATGGCCGTTTGGTTCTGGCACGAGGTTTCTTCCGTGCGAGTGTTATTGGCACGAGGTTTCTTCCGTGTGGAGTGTTATTGGCACGAGGTTTCTTCCATGCGGAGTATTGTTGGCACGAGGTTTCTTCCGTGCGGAGTGTTGTTGGCACGAGGTTTCTTCCGTGCGGGTTGTTATTGTGGCAGGAGGTTTCTGCCATGCGGTTACTGTTTTCCTCTATTTATTGTGTTTTTGTTGTTCCTTAACTTGTAGGACATTCGTTGCCTTACGTGTTGTAATTGTCTTCTTGTTTTTCCTTACATTCTTATTGTTTCATTAACCTGGCATTATTTTTATCATTTTGCCTTCTGCCTTATTTCTTATATTCCAGTAAGGCCCTGACATGACCTCGTCACTACTCTACCGAGGTTAGGCTTGGCACTTACTGGGTATCGCTATTATGTACGCATACTACACTTCTGCACATGTTTTGTGCAGACCAAGTACATCTTATCAGCCTCGATAGTAGAGCGTGTGTTGCTGCTTGGAGACTTCAAGGTATATCTGCCAGCGTCCGCAGACCTTGGAGTCCCCCTCTATCCTTATTTTGTTGTTTTCCTTTATTCTCTTAGACTTTGATGGATAGAGATATTTAGTACTTTCTTAGAGCTTGTGGCTTATAACTACCGAGTTTTGGGAGTTGTTCTTCTCTGAGTTGAAAATGTCGAACGACAGTTTTCAGTTATATATTTATCTGTTGATGTTGAGATTTTAGTAGTTATTTCAATTCTTTTCCGCAATTGTTAGGCTTACCTAGTCTTAGAGACTAGGTGCTATCACGATATCCTACAGAGGGAAAACTTGGGTCGTGATAGTAAAACAAACTAAGCTTAATAATCGAGATAGCAACTGGACTAATACAATATAAATATACGAACTAAACGACGACAACTGGAACATGCCCGATATTAAAGCTAAACTCTAACACCCCAACCCACCCCCCTCAAGTTGGAGGGAGATTGCCAACATCCAACTTGTCCAATATATCACGATAGTGAGTCCTGGACAAAGGTTTGGTTAGCATATCTGCCAGTTGAATCTTAATAGGAACACAAGATAGAGAAATGAGCCCTTCATGCAGCTTTTCACGAAAGAAATGACAGTCGTGATCGATGTGTTTGGTCCACTCGTGAAAGACTGGATTCTTGGCAATATATATTGCTTATTGACTATCGCAGTGAAGAGGGATAGGGATCAGGGAAGGAATAGTCAATTCGATCAATAACCTGGAGAGCCAAGCGAATTCTGCCACCACCCTTCTCATAGATAGATATTCAGCTTCTGTAATTGACAAAGAAAGAGTTTGTTGTTTCTTTGATTTCCAACAGAGAAGACCGGAACCAAGCATCACAATAAACCTACTAACAGACATGCGGGAATCTTGGCAAGCAGCCAATTAGAGTCACAAAAAGCCTGCAACTCAAACGAAGTAGAATTAGACATGAATAGGCCTTGTCCTGGATTCCCCTTGATGTACCTCAAGACATGGAGGGCAGCAGAATAATGAGTAGTTTTGGGAGAATGCATAAATTTGCTTAATAACTGCACAGCAAATAACAAGTGCTTACCAATCAACCTCTGATATAAAAGATGATCAGCTAGGAGATCACCAGAATCAGAAGTTAGCTTGATAGAAGCAGGCAAGGGAGTAGAAACAGAGGCATTACTGTCGCATGCAAACTTACATAAGAGATCTAAAGCAAACTTATGTTGAGTAATAAGAACACCACTGGCTCTTGAAGCACTTCTAATTCCAGAAAGTAGTGTAAGTGCCCCAAATCCTTGATTCGAAATTGAGAATCCAAAAAAGGATTTTAAAGCAGAAATTTCAGCACGATCATCACCAAGCACACGCACATCATCAACATAAACTACTACAATTACAGTAAAAGCAGGAGAAAAAGTGTCGGTATAGTCAATGCATTCTAGTTGTGTATCCCCTCTAAGAACAAGTTGTGCTTTAAATCTCTCAATGGTGCCATCTTCCCTATGTTTAATTTTATATACCTATTTATTACCAATTGGTTTCTTCCCTGTAACGACTCGGCCGGTTGTTTCAGGAGTTACAACCCCGTTTCTCCCATTTCTGCATCCTTTTGTGTTTCAGCTATATTTCATCGTATCGTGTTGGAAGGTTCGGGTCCGGAGAGGTTTCGGTGTGGAATAAGACACTTAGTCTCCTATTTAGAAGTTTAAGTTGGAAAAGTCAACCAGATGTGACTTGTTTGTAGATGATCTCGGATGTAAATTCTGATGGTTCGGTTACCTCGGTTAGGTGATTTTGGACTTGAGAGTGCATCCGGAATGTGATTTGGAGGTCCATGGTAGATTTAGGCTTGAATTGGCGAATTTGGAAATTTGGCGTTTCTCGGTCGGCAATGCAAATTTTGATATCGGGGTCGAAATGAAATTCTAGAAATTGGAATAAGTCTGTAGTATCATTTGTGATGTGTGTGCCAAATTTCAGGTCATTCAGAGGTGATTTGGTAGGGTTCGACATCGTTTGCAAAATTCGGAAGTTTAGAAGTTCTTAGGCTTGAATCCGAGGGTGATTTGGTGTTTGGAGGTTGTTTTGAGTGTTCCGAAGGTTCAACTAAGTTTGAATGTTGATATGTGACTTGTTGGTATGTTAGGTAGAGGTCCCGAGGGCCTCGGGTTGATTTCGGTGGTTGACGAATCAAGGATGGAAGTTGGAGGAATGCTGAATAATTGTTCTTAGCTGACATAACCGCACCTGCGAAATGGGGACCGCAAGTGCGGGCCCGCAGAAGCGCAAGAGCAGCTGCAGAAGCGGCCATAGATGAGAAGGGCAGGAGCCGCATGCGCGCATATGGGACTGCACCTACGAGACCGCAGATGCAGGTATTTGACCGCAGAAGCGGGTTCTGAGTTTTAAGTGGAAACCGCACCTGCGATGGATTTTCCGCAGGTGTGGCATCACAGAAGCGACATGGGGACTGCAGATGCGGAAAATGCTGGGCAGAATGTATAAAAGGGAGACTTCGTGAAATTGAGTTATTTTTTTATCATTCTTGTTCGGACTTGGAGCTTTTTGTAGGGGTTTGAAGAGGGAATCAAGGGGATACTCATTGGGGTAAGTTACTTGAGCTCAATACATGTGATTATGGAAATTTTCAGTTGTTTAAGCATGAAATTGGTAGAAATTAGGGATGAAATTGAGGGGTTAGGGCTTGGAAATTGGAGAGTTTAATTTGAGGATTTGAGGGACCCTTTGATGTTGGATTTTGATGATTTTGGTATTTATAGACTCGTGAGTGAAACGAGTTTCTAGTTTTGTGATTTTTGTTGGATTTCCAGACGTGGGCCCGGGGGGCTGGGTTTGGGTGAATGTCGGGATTTTGGTATAAATTGCTAGTTTTTCGTATGGAATTAGTTCCTTGGACTATATTGACTTCATTGTATTGCTTTTGGTTGGATGCGGGACGTTTAGAGGCTGATTATAGAGGCAAGGGCATCCCGGAGTAGGGATTTGACCGGTTCGAGGTAAGTAATGATTGTAAATCTTGTCCTGAGGGTACGAAGCCCCGGATTTCACATTGTTTTACTATTGCAAGGTGACGTACATGATAGGTGACGAGCGTCTGGGCGTGCACCGTTGGGTATTGTGACTTGGTCCGTCCCGTATCAACTATTAAGTTGCGTATTTGACTGAAAACTATATGATACTTATGTGTTTTAGAAAGAATTTCTATAATTTGGGCTGGATGCATATTTGGGCCTTGTGCCAAGCTGTTTGGACCCTTAGGGGACTTTTCGTATTATTTCCTCACTGTTTTAACTTAAGGTTTGTAATCAGTCATGCTATATTTTACTGATTTCATAACTCAGTCTTTATTACTCCGTTTTGATGCATAAAATGATATTTTGGGCTGAGCACCCTATTTTACTGATAGCCCGAGTGGCTTGAGAGATTTCTGACTGAGTGAGGCCGAGGGCTTGTGTTGTGAGGATATTATGGGATCGAGTTGCGTGCCGCAATATGTTGTTACAGATTTGGGATTATGAGAGGTCGAGGGCCTGATTGGTTTACGCCACGAGGTGGCTTGTTATAGCGCTTGGGTTATAGGAGCCCCTCTGGGGTCTACACACCCCCAGTGAGCGCGGGTACCCTGAGTGAGTGATATGACTGTTTGCCCGAGAGGCACTGAAACTCCCGCCGCCTGTATAACCCAGCAGGTTGTTCAGGGACTACAGATACCGGAGGCACCACCAACCCAGACGGTTGCACCTGCTTAGGATTATGTGGTACCAGTCATGCATGATGGCGAGCAACGCAGATTGGAGAGGTTTGATAGACTTCAGCCTCCAACTTTCAGTGGTACAGAGGGTGAGGATGCCCAGGGCTTCTTGGACAAGTGTTAGATGATTCTACGTACGGCGGGTATTCTGGAGACCAGTGGGGTCTCATTCACTACTTTCTAGTTTTCTAGAGCTGCCTTTACTTGGTGGGAGGCTTATGAGAGGCGTGGCTTGTTGGTGCAGCGCCCCTTACCTGACAGCGGTTCTCCGTTCTCTTTCTGGAGAAGTATGTGCCGCAGTCTCGCGGAGAGGAGCTACACAGACAGTTCGAGCAGCTGCATCAAGATGATAACTATGACGCAGTACGAGATGAGGTAATCTGAGTTAGCCCGTCATGCTATCTGGTTGGTTCCCACAGACAGGGAGAGGATCAGGAGGTTTGTGGATGTCCTTTCGTATCAGCTACGGATTCTTATGACCAGAGAGAGAGTATCTAGTGCTTCTTTTGAGGAGGTTGTTGACATTACTCGAGACATAGGGTCGATTCGCCGCCAGGAGCGAGTGGAGAGAGAGGCAAAAAGGCCTCGTGGATCTGGTAGTTTTGGGGGTCAGTATCAGCACGGTAGAGGTCGTCCATTCAGACATGCTCAGTCAGCTCGCCCAGTTCACCGTGGGGCATCATCGGGCCATGGTTCCCACAATTCTCATTAGGGCCATTCATCACTTAGTGCTCTCCCAGCTCAGAGTGCATCCCGTGCTCCATCAGTTAAGGGCTCTTCCATGCCAGGTTCTTCTACTAGTCATATCAGTCCCCATCACCAGCACCAGGGAGTTGTTATGAGTGTGGAGAGTTAGGGCACATATGGAGGCAGTGTCCTCGTCGTCATGGGGGTCTGCCTCAGCAGAGAAGTCAGCCATCGACTTCAGCACCAGTTACTTCACCACCCACACAGTCAGCTAGGGGTGGAGGACAGTCAGCTAGGGGTCGCCCCAGAGGGGGAGGTCGATCAGGTGGGGTCAGGCCTATTTCTATGCACTCCCAGCCAGACCAGATGCTATCGCTTCGGATGCTGTGATCACAGGTATTGTCTCAGTTTGTCATAGAGATGCCTCTGTATTATTTGATCCTGGTTCCACTTTTTCATATGTGTCATCATATTTTGCTTATTATTTGGACACGTCCCGCGAGTCTCTTGTTTCATCTGTTCATGTATCTACTCTGGTGGGTAATATTATTATTGTGGACCGCGTCTATCGATCATGTATGGTGACTATTTGGGGCTTGGAGACCCGAGTGGACCTTTGTTGCTTAGTATGGTATGATTTTGATGTGATATTGGGCATGGATTGATTGTCTCCGTGTCATGCTATTTTGAACTGTCATGCTAAGACAGTGACGTTGGCTATGCCGGGGGTACCACGGATTGAGTGGAGAGGTTCGACGGATTATGTTCCCAGTAGGGTGATTTCATTTTTGAAGGCCCAGCGGATAGTTGGGAAGGGATGTCTTTCTTATTTGGCCTTTGTGAGGGATGTCAGTGTAGAGACTCCCCATTGATTCAGTTCTGGTAGTGAGGGATTTTTTGGATGTGTTTCCTGCAGACCTGCCGGGCATGCCGTCGGAAAGGGATATTGACTTCGGTATTAATTTGGTTCCAGGCACTTATCCCATTTCTATTCCACCGTATCGTATGGCATCGGCGGAGTTAAAGGAGTTGAAGGAGCAGCTTCAGGAACTCCTTAATAAGGGGTTTATTCGGCCTAGTATGTCGCCTTGGGGTGCCCCTGTTCTATTTATGACGAAGAAGGATGGCACGATGAGGATGTGCATAGATTACAGGCAGTTGAATAAAGTCACTATCAAGAACAAGTATCCTTTGCCTCGTATTAATGATTTATTTGACTAGCTTCAAGGAGCGAGAGTGTTCTCCAAGATTGATCTCAGGTCAGGGTATCGCCAGTTGAAGATCAGGGACTCGGACATTCTTAAGACAGCTTTTAGGACACGATATGGTCATTATGAATTCCTTGTGATGTCTTTTCGGCTGATCAATGCCCCAACAGTGTTCATGCATTTGATGAACAGCGTGTTTCGGCCTTACCTCGACTCGTTTGTTATTGTTTTCATTGATGATATTCTGGTGTACTCGCGTAGTCAAGAGGAGCATGTTGAGCATTTGATAGTAGTATTGCAGCGGTTGAGGGAGGAGAAGCTTTATGCAAAGTTATCCAAGTGTGAGTTTTGGCTCAGTTGCATTCTTAGGGCACATGGTATCCAGTTAGGGTATTCAGGTTGACCCGAAGAAGATAGAGGCGGTTCAGGGTTGGCCCATACCGTCCTCAACCACAGAGATTCGTAGCTTTCTTGGGTTGGTGGGTTATTACCGTCAGTTCGTTTAAGGATTTTCATCTATTGCATCACCCTTGACCAAATGACTGTTGATACCCAATTTTTCCCTTATCTATTTTTATACTCAAAATATTCTCAAAATAGCATGTACATGCATATATAAGTATGCCCAAGAATTTTTGACATTTTTCCAATTTTTAAAGCTTTTAAAAATCATTTTTGTTATTTTGTTTTAACAGTACAAAACCCAATAATTATTCCCAAAACTATCATTTTGGTGAATAATTTATTTCCATCCTCCTATTTACATCACAATATAAATAAGGTAATCTTTTGCATATTTTTTTTATAAATCTATTTGATATTTTAAGCTAAAA